TATAATTTAGTATAATGTTAATTTTAATTACTTACCCAAAAAAAAATATTAATTTTAATTACATGTTATAGGGACTTGAGAATATAATAAGATGATGTTTTATTATTGATGCATATAGGTTGCAATGGAACATGAGGAGACATTGACAAATCTCATGTGGTTAGTATAAATGGCAGGAGATTGCTTGTAGACTTGACTGTTTTAGATATGTGGGACTTTGACATAATTCTTGGAATGGATTGGTTGACAACCAATTATGTTTCTGTTGATTGTCGAGGCAAAATGGTAGTATTTCAGATTCTTGATCAACCAGAATTTTGTTTTGTGGGTAGTGGAGTTAATACTCCTCCTTTGGTAATCTCAGCTTTGCAAGCTAGACGATTGTTGAGGAATGGTTGCGAGGGTTATTTAGCTTCTGTGAGAGATATTCATGAGACTGAATTGAAGTTAGAGGATATTCTAGTTGTGAAGGAATTTCCCGATGTTTTTCCTGAAGAGTTACCGGGTTTGCCACTAGATAGAGAGATTGAGTTTGCCATTGAATTGATACCTGGCACGGGTCCTATCTCTAAGGCTTCGTATCGGATGGCCCCAGCAGAGTTGAAAGAGTTGAAGGAATAGTTACAAGAGTTACTAGATAAGGGCTTTATTAGGCCTAGCGTTTCTCCTTGGGGTGCGCCCGTTTTATTTGTGAAAAAGAAGGATGGTAGTTTTCGCCTTTGCATTGATTATCGAGAGTTGAACAAGGTGACAATCCGAAATAAATATCCTTTGCCTAGGATAGATGACCTATTTGATCAGTTGCAAGGAGCACAAGTCTTTTCTAAGATTGACCTTCGTTCTGGCTATCATCAGTTGAAGGTTAAGGCGGAAGATATACCTAAGACAGCCTTCCGAACTAGGTATGGGCATTATGAATTTTTAGTGATGCCGTTTGGGTTGACCAATGCGCCTGCAGCTTTTATGGATTTAATGAACAGAGTATTTAAACCCTTCTTAGATCAGTTTGTGGTAGTTTTTATTGATGACATTCTTGTGTACTCGAAAAGTAAAGAGCAACACGAAGAACATCTGAGAATAGTGTTGCAGATATTAAGGGAGAAGAAATTATTTGCTAAATTAAAGAAGTGTGAATTTTGGCTGGAGAGTGTATCATTTTTGGGTCATGTGATATCTAAAGATGGGGTGTCTGTTGATCCCAAGAAAGTGGAGGCGGTGGTGGAGTGGAATCGGCCTACTAGTGTCACTGAAATTCGTAGCTTCTTGGGTTTAGTAGGTTATTATAGAAGGTTTGTTGAGGGATTTTCCTGAATTTCTATGCCTTTGACTCGTTTAACACAAAAAGGGGTTAAATTTGAGTGGTCTGATGATTGTGAAAAGAGTTTCCAAGATCTAAAGAGTCGATTGGTGTGTGCTCCAGTACTTATAGTTTCGTCCGGAGATGAAGGTTTTACCATCTATAGTGATGTATCGAAGATGTGCTTGGGTTGTGTCCTGATGCAGAATGATAAGGTAGTGGCATATGCGTCTAGGCAGTTGAAGCCATATGAGCAGAATTATCCTACCCATGATTTGGAGTTGGTTGCCGTGGTGTTTGCATTGAAAATCTAGAGGCACTACCTGTATGAGGTGAAATGTGAGATATTCACTGATCATAAAAGTTTGAAGTATATTTTCACTCAAAAAGAATTGAATATGAGGCAAAGGCGATGGTTGGAGCTATTAAAGAACTATGATTTGACTATCAATTATCATCTAAGAAAAGCCAATGCAGTGGCGGATGCCTTGAGTAGAAAGACCCCGAGTAATTTGGCTACCTTGATCACTGACCAAAAGAATATCTTGGAGGACTTGCAGAGGTTGAATATTGAGATTAGATGGCATAGCCATGAAGTGCAGTTGGCAAACCTTAGAGTTCAACCCACATTGATTGATAGAATTAAAGATGCTCAGGGAAGAGATCCTCAGTTGCAAAAACTTAAGGTTGAAATGGAAATAGGGCTACAGATGAAATTTTGTATGCATAAAGATGGAACCTTGAGATTTGGAGAGAGGTTGTGTGTGCCTAATGATTTAGAGCTCAAGAGAGAATCCTGAGAGAAGCTCACAGTTCAGGATATACTGTACATCCAGGGAGTACTAAAATGTATAAAGACTTGAAGAGGAACTTTTGGTGGAATAATATGAAGAGGGAAATTGCTCAGTATGTTGCTCAATGTTTGGTATGTCAACAAGTGAAAGTTGAACATCAGAGACCTGCAGGTAAGTTACAACCTCTTCCTATTCCCGAGTGGAAGTGATAACATATTACCATGGATTTTGTGACAGGGTTGCCTAGGACCCAAGGTGGTAACAATACTATTTGGGTTATTGTTGATCGATTGACCAAATCCGCTCACTTTCTAGCTTTTAAGGTAAGGTTCTCCTTAGAGAAGTTTGCAAATTTGTATATCAAGGAGATTGTGAAGTTGCATGGTATTCCAGTGACCATAGTGTCTGATAGAGATAGCAGATTTGTATCTACGTTTTGGAGGAGTTTGCATACAGCTTTGGGTACTAGTTTGAATTTTAGCACTGCCTTTCATCCTCAAACTGACGGACAGTCAGAGAGAACTATTCAAACCTTGGAAGACATGTTGAGGGTTTGTGTTATTGATCTTGGAGGTTCTTGGGATGAGCATTTGGCCTTAGTGGAATTCTCTTATAATAACAGTTATCATGCGAGCATTCAGATGGCACCATATGAGGCTTTATATGGACGAAAGTGTAGATCACCTATTGTGTTGGGATATGTTCGTGAAAGGAAGTTGTTAGGGCCTAAGATTGTGCAACAAACAGTGGACAAGATCAATCTTATTAGAGAGCGACTTCGCACGGCACAGAGTAGACAGAAAAGTTATGCAGATAACAGGAGACGCGATTTGGTGTTTGGGTTGGAGACCATGTGTTCCTTAAGGTGTCTCTTATGAAAGGAGTAATGAGGTTTGGTGTTCGTGGTAATTGAGTCCTAGATTTGTTGGGCCATTTGAGGTTTTAGATCGAATTGGTGAGGTAGCTACAGACTTGCCCTACTACCTTCACTAGCTGGAGTTCATAATGTTTTTCATGTCTCAATGTTAAGGAAGTATATACTGGATCCTAGTCATGTGATTGATCATGCACCGTTGTAGTTTAAGGAGGGTTTGACATATGAGGAACACCCTATACGAATTGTTGATAGGAAGGAACAGGTTTTGAGGCGTCGAGTCATCCACTATGTTAAGGTTCAATGGAGTAATTACTCAGAAAGAGAAGCAACTTGGGAACTCGAGGATGAAATGAAACGAAAGTATCCACAATTTTTAAGACTTCAGGTATGTCAAATTTCGAGGCGAAATTTCTTTTAAGGAGGGAAGGATGTAAAACCCAAGTTTTAAATATTATTATTTTATTGGATAGATTAGTAATAAATTAACTTATATGAGTCATTTATTAATATCAAAGAATTAGTTATGAGATGACATTATATTTCCTATTACTTAGATGGGTAATTTTGTAACTTTGAAAAATTAGGTTAATAAGCCCACCTATTGTGGCTTTAAGTCTTGGAAAACAAACAAACAGAGGCTATGAATTGCTCCATAGGCGGCTAGGGTTTGAGAAGGTAAAAGAAAAAAGAAAAGAAAAGAAAAAGAGAGGCTTGTGCTGCAGAAAGGGTTTGGAAGAGTTAAAGGTGAAGGCAACAAGCAAGGGTTTGGAAAAGTTTAAATTAAAGAAAAGAAACCCAAACCAAGGAAGAGGGAGGATTCATAAGAGTGGTGGTTTTGCTTTATTCATCACTTAGGTAAGATTTATTTTTATTGTATTCCTATCTATGATTTAGTGTTAATATATCAATAGATGATTTTATGGCATATAGATTAAATAGATATATTGATGTAGTCTATGTTGGGGGTCTCAATTTTGCTCAATTTTAGAGTGTATTTTGCATCCCATTTGGGTGGTTCATATTTTGAGATTGATATGTGATGGTTAAGTTTAATGGGTGTATTTGTGGATACACGATTTACTACAAGCAATTACAAATTTTTACGTGTATATAAACAACAATAGAATAATATGGGTTGAGAATTTCCGAAAACCGTGATGGCTTTGTTTTGATGCTAAATTGTGGGAGTTCTTAATAGGCAATTGGGTTAATTTATTTTATTGTTGTTACAAGAAGAGATAGATGGGTGCACATAATAATTGTTTATGCGGTGTAATATTTTATTAGGTTTGTGAGATTGAGGTGATCTTGGTAATTTGAGATTAGCTTGGGAAATATATTTTAGCTGTTTGAGGTAAGTAACCCTCTATCACTGTTGGTTCATTTTATTCCTATCGAATCGTTTAAAATCATAAATATTATTTATAACCTTTATGTTCTCTTAAAATAAAATATGGGTAAGTATAAAACAACATCGAATATTATTATGAAAATTATTTGAATATTTGGTGAAACTATTCTGAAAATTGTACTAAACGTTATTCTGAAAATATCGAATGTTTTTATTTAAAAGTTGTGTATTGTTTGAATTTTGAACATCACTCTAGTCTGACTATGATTTGGACCCTAGCCAATGGGGGTTATTTATGCATCATGTAATACTAGTTTCTTTTGGGGCTTTACCACCGGCCTATGTGTGGTTCTGGGCCTTGTCACGGGCTAAGTGACCGTAGTCATTAAGACATGGGTTTTGTGAATCAAATCATTGAACCATCTGAATATCGAACCATCGATTTGAACAACGAATTACTTTGAATTTTCTTGTTGGCTTTTCATTTAAAATGTATTGTACATTGTTTATTTTTAGCTATGAAACCACCTTACAAATAATTGTTCATTTATTGAACTGTAGAAAAAAAATTTATATTTATTGGTTATCGATTTATTTACTTATTTTTATATACTTGATCCAGCTAGCAGTGATGGTTGGTTATTTACTAGGCTATCTAGCTTACCTTTATTTTTTTTTCAGATTCTGAAGAGTAGAGCTGCGCCGATTTTTTTTACATGTGGGAGTGCCGAGAGTGGGATCATGATTTAAGTACTTGGATTATTGTTTTGTTAGTGGATTAAATTAGTGGACTTGGTGGACATTTTCATATAAGAACTATTTATTTTTATGGATTTTGGCATTATGACAATTAAGGATTTAATTTGAGTATTTTACATGGTGGGTTATGTGATTGGATTCTTAGCCTTGCATGCTCACTTATATGAGTGTGCGGCGTTGTTATGGAGCTTGGGGCGTGACAATTTTGAATCCCATGTTTTAATGACTACGGTCACTTAACCCGTGACAAGGCCCAGAACCACACATAGGCCGGTGGTAAAGCCCCAAAAGAAACTAGTTTCTGGCCAATAAATAACCCCCATTGGCTAGGGTCCAAATCATAGTCAGACTAGAGTGATGTTCAAAATTCAAATAATACACAACTTTTAAATAAAACATTCGATATTTTCAGAATAAACGTTTAGTACAATTTTCAGAATAGTTTTACCAAATATTCAAATAATTTTCATAATAATATTCGATGTTGTTTTATACTTGACCCATATTTTATTTTAAGAGAACATAAAGGCTATAAATAAATATTTATGATTTTAAACGATTCGATAGGAATAAAAATGAACCAACAGTGATAGAGGGTTACGTACCTCAAACAGCTAAAATAATATTTCCCAAGCTAATCTCAAATTACCAAGATCCACCTCAATCTCACAAACCTAATAAAATATTACACCGCATAAACAATTATTATGTGCACCCATCTATCTCTTCTTGTAACAACAATAAAATAAATTAACCCAATTGCCTATTAAGAATTCCCACAATTTAGCATCAAAACAAAGCTATGACGGTTTCGGAAATTCTCAACCCATATTATTCTATTGTTGTTTATATACATGTAAAAATTTGTAATTGCTTGTAGTAAATCGTGTATCCCACAAATACACCACCATTAAACTTAACTCATCACATATCAATCTCAAAATATGAACCACCCAAATGGGATGCAAAATACACTCTAAAATTGAGCAAAATTGAGACCCCCAACATAGACTACATCAATATATCTATTTAATCATATATGCCCATAAAATCATCTATTGATATATTAACACTAAAATCATAGATAGGAATACAATAAAATAAATCTTACCTAAGTGATGAATAAAGCAAAACCACCACTCTTATGAATCCTCCCTCTTCCTTGGTTTGGGTTTCTTTTCTTTAATTTTAAACTTTTCCAAACCCTTGCTTGCTGCCTTCACCTTTAACTCTTCCAAACCCTTTCTGCAGCACAAGCCTCTCTTCTCTTTTTCTTTTCTTTTTTCTTTTACCTTCTCAAACCCTAGCCGCCTATGGGGCAATTCATAGCCTCTGTTTTGTTTGTTTTCCAAGACTTAAAGCCACAATAGGTGGGCTTATTAATCTAATTTCTCAAAGTTACAAAATTACCCATCTAAGTAATAGGAAATATAATGCCATCTCATAACTAATTCTTTGATATTAATAAATGACTCATATAAGTTAATTTAATTAATAATCTATCCAATAAAATAATAATATTTAAAACTTGGGTTTTACAGTAATCGCTCAACAGTCGTTCACTTGCACTAAAAACTATTTTAGAAGCCACTGTAAAAAAAGAAACGATTAGTATATCACGGGTTATCTGTGCAAGCATAGTTGTTTCCATCAATCTAAAATATCAAAATCTTCTTCTTCACTTTCATCAACACAACGTTGATCCAAATAACGTTGTCACTTAGAACTATAAGTGCTTGCATTTTGAGATATTCTTCTATTTTTTATCTGTGAACAAATATCAAATCCTCCACCACAAGATGAGTGTAGACACCCCATTTTTGACCGACCTTGAGACTCAGATGTCACCAGTTGAGCGCTCGGTGATACTGTATATTGTGCTCGTTCAGAAGTCTCAAAGTCGCGGCCGTGAGCCCTGCCTCCGGATTTCCGAACCCTCTTCTGTGCTTTGCCTCGGTTTGCGAACCAGGCTCGCTTTTCTCTGTTTTCTCTTCGCGAAGGGAGGGAGAGGTCTTGTAGATCATCTCTCAGTGGCCGTAGGCTACGTTTTGTGGTCGTAGGCCATTTTGCCCGTTTGGAGTTCGATTTCCGGTTTTTCGGAGCCGTCGGCCGTGTGCCTCGGTTCGGGACCGCTTAACCACCTCCATTTGCTTCGGTTTTTGGCATGCATCTTATTTACTCCCTTTTGAGGGACACTGAGGTCTGAGAGACCCACTTCGTGGTCGAATGCCACTTTCGGTGCTTAACAGACAGTTTTCAGGGTCCCGAACTGCGCGTTCTGGCCCCCGAGCATTCGTTTTGCATCGGTTTTCGTTCATTTTTGGCAGGTACCTCGGTTTTATCACCAGGAAGGCCGTAGAAGGGTGGGAGGCCAGCAATTGTTTCAGTAACTAGTTATATTCCTCTGGCGCCCTCCGTCGCCCGATTTCCTTCACTTCAAAGCCAATGTTGAACAACCTTGGGCCATTTTCTTGAACCTTTAACCACATATTTGTGTTGTACACACATGGGAGGACACCAAAAGTTGGTGGCCGGCCAGTAATTCCATCTGACCCTTTTGAACCCCTCTTAAAAATGGCTTGTTCTCTCTCCTGTTTTACAGTTGACAATTTTGAACCATAGGGTTGTGTTGAGGGCACCTGGGAGGACACCTATCTGTGGTGGCCGGCCATTAAATCACCTTGACCCTTTTGACCCCTGGCCGGCCGGCCATGGGGGGTGGCCGGCCGGCCACCTGCAGCTCCAAAAACTGGCTGGCCTCTCTCCTCAGGGTGAGTACATTACAACTGTATATCTGTTTTTCCCTCAAAAGATCTGTATCCGGGGGACAGCTTTTGGGGGGAAACTTGGTCCATTTCCCCCCACTTTTTCCCTCCATCTCTCCCTCTCTTTGGTCCATATAACTGGCCTCCAACATTGGTCCAAGGGTTGGAAGATTTTTGCCTTCAAGCTTGGTATACATATCTCCCTCCATCTCTCTCTTTCAAGCAAGAACAACCAAGTTCTACCACCTTTTCTTTATCACCACCTAGCATCACCACCACTACTCCATTTCCAGCAGCTTGGGGAGCTTTCCAGCAGCTAGGAGGCATCACTTCTCAAGCCAAGAAGCAACCAAAGACTTGTCTTCAAGGGTAAGTTCCATTCCCTCTTTTTTGGTCCATTTCTTGTATCATTTATAAGCCATACATGCTTGCTGTTTTAAGCTCCGGCCCTAACTGAAAGTGGCATTATTTTGAGCTCATTTTCACTTTTGCTTAAGGGCCTCTCACTGTTTGAGGTCCCCTTGATGCACTTGCTTCAGTATCCCTTTTGTATGCCATAATCTTGCATAGTATTTTTGGCCTATGT